TCAGTTTAGTCGATCCAAAATTAATAAATATAAATCCAAAGTTTTTTTTTTTAAATTGTTATTTATGTCACCCAAAAAAAATTAGTTTATCCAAAGTAAAGAAAACTCTGCATGAGCTAAACATGCATTTAAAATGGACACGAATTAATGTCTTATGAGAGACTAAGAAAAAGACTTAAATTAATTAATTAAAAACTACTATAGATCAATTTAGTACATTTTCGGTCTCAGCCATAAGATAGTACATTTCTTAACTCCCTCATTTTCTTAAAAATATTTAAACTATTTATTATTAATCATAAGAAAAATAATATATAAGAAACCATTGATAGAGTGTATAATGTATGAGCTGGAATGTTACTATATATGAATTTGGGAGATATTTACAAGTAATTGTCTATTATGTGTAATTACTCAGCTGGGGATTTGGGAGATATTTACAAGTAATTGTCTATTATGTGTAATTACTAATTACTCAGCTTCAACATATAGTACCTAACATACATATATGTAATATATATTCGAGTGTTAATTAGGACACATCTTTACTTTCTTATGATTCTCCTCTTATTCTTCTCCTCTTGAGACCTTCTCTTCTCTTTTTGATCTCTAATATCTTCTTTTTCTCCTCTCGAAATCTTCTGTCTTCACTACAATCTTTATTTTCTTACTCTTCTACACCTCAAACCAGCCATGCTCCACCGTCGAACACTCTCGGCTCCGGCCATGTTTTACACCGAACATCACGTACAAGAACAAGAAAACAACAAGAACAAAGGAGGCCGTGGTCTTCAAGAAGATTATGAGGTAAATCCGTAGAACTCATGTTTCAAAAACACAAATGAATAATTTATACTCCAAAACCTCATGACAAAACCTCATACAACTACTATGATAAGGACAAAAGAATTATCTTTATTTGATTTAAAATAAACGCTTTTATTTCCAGCCCTAAAAACAACTAATTTCTTTTCTTGTTTGTAACAAAAACTCTTGATGAAGATTTTGTCCACCGATTCCGACAAACAAGAACAACAAAAGAAGATTCAAGAAGACTCTGAGGTAATCTATAAAACTCCAAAATTTTCTTTTGTTTCAATTTGAAGCTAGATAGTAAACAGACAAAAAGATATCTATGAACGGGAACTTTCTCCATCCATATTTCAAAAAGCTAATATATAATTTGTATAACAGTTCATATATATAGATAAAACCGCATAAAATGATTTTCACTTGATTTAAGATATACTTTTTTATTGCTCGTAAAAGAACTAATTTTTTCTTTATAGAATTTTTTTTATATCAACACTGTTTTTTGATATATTGTATTGTAATATTATTTAAAAATGTGCTGCTGAAATACAATGGCCAGTGTATTAGTTAAAATTTAGTTCGATTTGTAAATATGTCATAGTTTATCGATTAGGTTTAGTTTATCCAATGTAAAAGAAAACCTCTGCATGAGCTAAACATGCGTTTGAATGGGCACGAATTATAATGTCTTAGATAAATATTTAAAAAATTGAGCACTAGGTTCATTTTACAAAGTTCATCGAATATATAGTTTTTTTTTTAAATACCCTTTACAATACCTACGATGTTCATTAGACGATTAGTATCCTTTAAAAAAACTTAATTTGCAGAAAAAAAGTATTCTAATATGGAGAACAACTGTCAACTTATATTGACAAAGACGTTTTTGGCTTCCTTGTAATAAAATTGGGATGAACTCATTTTCTGTGTCAACCGAAAATTAAAGGACGTGTAAAAGTGAGTTCAAAAACATTTTCTTTTATATTCAAAAAATAGAATTCAAAAATGACAAAAAAAAATTAATATGATATTACCCAAGTCAATACAATAAAAGATCCATAAAAATATGATTAATGCTTACCAAAATATGATTGAAGTCATTCGGTTTTTGTCTATTATAATTATTTTTTGTCATTTTCCAAATTAGTTAATATGCGAAATTAGTTAATATGATTAACGTCCACCAAAAGATCCATAAAATTTTTTTATAATATTATCTAAGAAAAGAATTCCAACAAATGTATAATTTGTAGAACAGCTTATACAGTTCATGTACAGATAAAACCTCATAAAACTGTTTTGATCCCGACAAAATAATTATTTTCATTTGGATGTGCGTTTTTTTTCTAGTAAACCAACTTTTTCTTGTTTATAAAAGAAAATCTTGATGAAGATTTTGCATTAAGCAAATGTAGCTCAAAATGGCTTTTTTATTAGTTCTCGAATTAATTTAAAGATATAGACTGAATTTAACTAGCAAAGGTCCAAGTCAATACATCAAAAGACCATAAAAGTATTATTATATAATATTATCCAAGAAAAAAAATCCAACATGAACTTTTATCTTGCGACTTGCGAGGAAAGTAACTTTGCTCCTATTTTTGGTTGTAATTAACTTGGATGTTTCACCAGTTTAAGAGACGATATCTAATTCTACAGAAAAGAAAAATAACTTTTATCTTGTTTTGTTCAATTGCTCCTTGAATTCCGTATGTTTCTTAATTAAAACACAATCATAGGTGCTCCAACGTAGCGCCAATCTCATCGTTGCTAAGGATGATTCGGGAAACTACAAAACCATAAATGATGCGGTTAAGGCGGCTCCTAATAACAGCAAAACACGATTCATCATATATGTTAAAGAAGGCATATATGATGAGATCGTTAGGATTGCGAGTACAAAGACTAACATAACGTTAGTAGGCAAGAGTAAAGATAAAACCATCATAACCGGAAGCTTGAACTATGTAGACCACGTAAAGACCTTCGACTCCGCAACACTTGGTATATTTTCTATTTTCTCAATAGACTTACACATATATTTTAAAATACTAATGATACTAATGCTCAATTGTTGTTACAATTTCTTTATAGCCGTAGATGGGGATGGGTTTTTAGGCCAAGATATTTGCATCCGGAACACAGCCGGTCCGGAAAAGCATCAGGCTGTGGCTCTCCGTGTGAGCGGTGATAATTCGATTCTATATCTCTGCCGTATCGAGGGCTATCAGGACACACTTTACGCTGACAAACAAAAGCAGTTTTATCGCGAGTGCTATATCACCGGGACGGTTGATTTCATATTCGGTAACGCAAAGGCTGCATTCCAGAAATGTCATATTGAGGCAAGGAAGCCACTTCTTGGACAGGAAAACGTGATCACGGCTCAGAAACGCGAAAACCGAGACGATAGCTCAGGATTTTCATTCCAAGAATGCGAGATAAGAGCAACCTCGGATCTTGCTCCCGTCAAGGGAACCGTAAAGACTTATCTAGGACGTCCGTGGGGAGTCTTCTCAAGGGTCGTCTTCATGGATTGTTTCATAGATGATCTCGTTGATCCGGCGGGATGGTTTCCATGGGGTAGCGACACTCGACGTCAGTCTACCGTGTATTACGGCGAGTACAAGAACAAAGGCCCGGGAGCGAGTACAAGTGGACGAGTCCCGTGGAAAGGCTTTAAGGTTATCACAGATACGAAAGAAGCAGAGAACTTCACGGTGGGAAAACTGTTATATCCAGATACATGGATCAAATCCACCGGAATCCCGTGCGACGAAGGTCTCCGATGACATATGAAGACTAGTGTTTTAAGAAATTTAAGAAGTTATCTAAACCAAAAAGAAAAACATTGAATGCTTTCATCGTTTTACATATCGCTATTATTAAGTTAAAAAATCACTTTATTATGGTAAATAATCTTTTATCATTTAACGCAAACGTATAAAAAAATATGTTAGCAATTAAATTTGAAGATATGCTTAATAGGCAGTTCATAACCTACAAACATATGCTTAATAGGCAGTTCATAACCTACAAACATGGTAAGATCAAATATCTGTGTTATTTTATTCCTTTTAGCATGGATGAAATTTGAAAATGTTAAAAGTTATCTTCTTCCTTTTTTTTTGGTCAAAGTTAAAATTAAAAGTTATCTAAACTGCCAAAAAGAAGAAACCATTTGGCCATTTGATATATTGTTACTATTAAGTCAAATTGTTTTAATTATGGTACATAATCTCATGTCATTTATGGTATTAAAAATAAATAAAATTCTGTTAGCATTTAATTTAAAGATATGTTTTGGCCTATATAAATCTCACATAGTTCTCAAACAGTTGTAACAAAAAGAAAATGGTTCCAAACGTAAAAAAAAACTTTTCATCGGCTCTTATGATAGTTTTACTTTTTCTTGTTGTCTCATCATGTGCAAGATTTAGTATGATGGTTACAGAAGGTGAGATCCACTCCATCTGCACAGGAAAAGGAATCAATTCTTCACTTTGTTTTGAGGTTCTAAAACCAATCCCTGAATTTACAACAATGGAGTTTTTTGATCTCGTCAAAATTTTGACCAACTATCAATTTGGAAACATGTCGGATACGTTGAAACAAATGAAGTCATTCGAAGGCAACACCACCGATTTGCAGACAATTGATTTATGTGAAAGATTATATCAAGATGCTCTTTATTATCATAATGATACATTCGAAGCTTTGGCAGCTAAGGATTATGAAAAGTTAAGCACTAAAATCAGTGCTATCGCAACCTCTATGTCTACCTGTATTGATGAATTGTCAGTGATGAAGCCGATACCACAAATCTTGATCACGTGGAGTGATACCATTTCAGATATATGTCACATTACTTTGAGGATTCTCAATTGTTTCATAAGAGAAATAAAAATGTTATGTTAACTGTATATTTTTTTGAGTTAATTACTTTGGAAAGTATGGTAATTACTAGAATGACTTTGTCAAATCTAGTAACTTGATACAACTCGATAAAAGACAAATAAACTTTAATAATCTATTTTATTTACGCAACTGCCATCCTGAAACCTAAAAAAAAAAACTTATAAATCTATCATAACTACCCAATAAATCTACCACCACATGTATACGTTGGAAATTTTTTAAACCAATAAATAAAACATTTGTTTGAAACCACCGTCGCGGAGGCTGCGGAAGCACCGGATCGTGCTCGGCGAAGGTGGGGAGGCTGCAGAAGCACCGAGATTTAGGTAAAAATTGAACTAAAAATCAAAAGTTGAAAAAAAAACTCGAAATCTTTTGATTTTTTGTTAGAAAATAGATATATGATGTTAGATCTAGTAGTTTTAGGCTAAACCCAGTTGAAAACAAATTAAAACACAGCAAAAACGAGCTAAAAATGAGTTGGCCGCCATTGTTAGGGTTTGACATATATAAGCTTGGGTGTGTTGGAGAAGATGAAGGGTAAATTACGATTTTGTCCTTCATTGAATAAATCTACCACTACTATAAATAAATATTATAAGTCTACCACTACTACAAATAAGTCTACCACATATTATAAATTTACCACTACCACATATTATAAATCTACCACTATTATAAATAAATCTACCACAACTGTAATTAAGTAAGGTCATTCTAGTAAAACTCTAAAAATATTTAATAAGTCTACCGCAAAGACAAATAAGTCCACCAAATTTAATAAATCTACCACAACTTTAAACAAGTCTACCATCGAGCGAAACCGGAATTAAGTCTACCACCACTAAATATAAGTCTATCAGATATTATAAATCTACCACTACTATAAATAAGTCTACCATCGCTAAACATCAATAAGTCTATCAATCAAAAAATTAAATCTAACATCACTACAAATAAGTCTACCTATCATAAAATTAAGTCTACAAGTACTACAAATAAGTCTACCACATCTTATAAATCTATCACTACTATAAACAAGTCTATCATCGCGCAAACCATTAATAAGTCTACCACTACTACTAATAAGTCTATCACTCACAAATAAATCTACCATAACTATAAATAAGTCTACCATCGCACGAACCATCAATAAGTCTACTAATCACAACAATAAATCTACCACAACCACTAATAAGTCTACCACTCAAAAATAAATCTACCACAACTATAAATAAGTCTACCACTACAACGCATAAGTCTACCGTAACTACTCAATAAGTCTACCACAACTTACAATAAGTCTACCACTACTTAGAATAAGCCTACCACTACTATAAACAAGTCTACCACTGCCTGCACCGTAATAAGTTTACCGACCACTTTATAAATCTACCACTACTACAAATAAGTCTACCGATCCCAAAATTAAGTCTACCAGTATTACGAATAAGTCTACCACATATTATAAATCTACCACAACTATAAATAAGTCTACCATCGCGTACGCCGTAATAAGTCTACCAGACGTTTAATAAGTCTACCGTAACAGAATGGTAGACTTATTTAATTTTGGCGGAAAAAAAAATTTGGCTTCATTAATGGCAGTTTCGTAAATACATTTTTTGTCTTCAAATGAAATAAGGTTAACACAAGAATTAAAAAAATTTCAAGATCATTCTAATAATATTTAAAGATAGAGGTCATTCTAGTCCAAATATTTGCTTGACAAGGTCATTCTAGTAAACCATCCTATTTTTTTTGTGGAAGCCCCTTTGGCC